TTTCCAAAACAGGAGATCTTGATTCTGGCACAGAAGTGACAGTTAAAATAGAACCTGTTCCGCACAGATAATAGGACTTGGTGCATGTGAAAAAATGCAGGTGTTACTTCAGCAGTCAGATAACATCATTTTGGAAAGATACACTGAACAGAGAAAGAAGAGACAAGTGGCAAGTCAAACGCCTAAGGGTAGCCAAGCTCTCTGAAAAGCTGCAGAGAAGTCAAGGGTAAAGATACCAGGAAAGAGACGTGCCTGGACCAACTCTGGACAATTCTATAAAGAATTTTCCAGTGTATCCTGAATGGCAGCAGCCAACAAACAAACCCTTCCTCTCACCTTCCTTTCCAGGAGGTGATACTGATCCTTAGTAAAGCTATTCCACCTTAGCAGGAGGATGCCTTCATGGGGCATGGTGTGCTGCGTGGCTCACTGGCCACTTAATACCCCTCTGCTCTTGCACCAAATGACTTCTCCCAGGAAAAGTGCTGAGCTCTTGCAAAGTAGTTAATCATAAAGATGTTACAAAGCAGTGAGGCGTCATCCCGGGTTGGAAGGAAGTCTCCCTAAATATTTCCCTTTGGGGAATTTACAGATTTCTGCAAAATCTCTCAAATGTGTCACCAAAAAGGACTTGGGAGGAAAAAATGCAAGAGTTGCCTGAGCCACAGCTGGGTGCCTCCAACACTGATTGCTCCTCCGAGCCCATCTTTCACCAGCACTAACATAACCCTTAGCTTTTCCTTTTGCTCCTCCTGAGAGCATCTAACAGGCGCAACAACTTTCCAGTACATCATGTGTAGGAACAGGGATGTATGTTCAGCAGAAGAGCAGGGAGCACAATCCCTTCCAGTGCTGGCATGTGGGTGGCTTCACCCTTGCCTTCGGGTTCAGTTGTCAGAGGTCATCCTTCTGCTGCACATCTGGCTGTGGTGCCGTGCCTTCATCCAAGCCACTGCCTGGCCTTTGACACCCACAAAGGTTTTTCCCTTCCCACTTTTCATGTAATGAGGCACATGGAGCTGCCATCACCCCACTCCCAGCATAACCCCCCAAGCCCCATAGCCAAACCTCTTCCATGAGCCAAGCAAACAGTGCTCCTGGATTCCCATGGTGCTGGGAGAGTTCATGTTTTCCACTACGGCACCGCATGTGAGATCTCTCCTGGGACAAAGCACAGAGCTGCTTTTTTCCTCTTACTGTAAATACATTTGCAGAAGATCACCAGAAAGTAAAAGAACTTTCTAGAAGAAAAGCATCTCTGGCTCTTGTCTCGAGATGTAAATGAGCAAAACCAGCACATGAAGCTTCCCAAAACGCAGCATTTCACATTCAACTCCTGCTTTTCCAGCCCTTCAGGAGTGCTGCTTTTTCACTGCTCCAGCCCAGGAAAGCACTGGTGCTCAGCCAGCCAGGAGCTACCCACCAGCATCACCCCAGCCATGAGCACCAGGCATCAGCGGGATTCCAGGACTCAGAGCACATGCTTAAAGCTGTATTTTTCCTAAATGGATTTCTGCATACATTTAATTATTTTGTTGAATTGGAGCCACTGCAAGTGAAGGAATCATTATTCTAAAGTAGTAACTGAGGGTGACTGCACATTCCTGTGAATTTTTGATAGAAAAACACTCTTGGCTCCACAGGAGGAAAAAAAAATCAGGATTTTCCTCCAAAAGGCTCTTATTTGCTCTCAGTTTGGCTCCTTCTGCCCCAGCCCTGAAGGGAGCAACAGCAGCCCAGCCCCTCACCCAGCAGCACCTTAATCAGGCTTTGCTGCTTTTCCCCTGCTCCAGACTGTTGCTGTCTGGAGGCTTCTGGAGCTGCAGGGTGGGGTGGGATGGATGGGTACATACGGGAACCCCAGCTCCTCCATCCCTCAGCTGGGACATCCCTCAGGTTCCCACACCCAGCCGGGCTGATGGGAGCCCCTTGGTCAGCACTTCCCCAGAGGAGTTGTGTTTCTCCCCACCACCAGCAACTTCCTTCTTCCTTTCACTTCCACCTTTTGCCACATTAAAAAATAAAGAAAAATATTTCTTTAAAAAATTTCAAGTTTCATATTCCCATCATCTCAGCACTCCTCATTTCCCCATCTTTCAGCTGCTTTCCTCTTGCTTCCTCCCTTTGCACCCCTTGAAGACTGAAGCAATAACATCTCACTGCCCGAGGTGGGATGACTGCCAGCATCCACCCTCATTTCACAGGAATGGATATCCATGGGGGAAAACATCCCCAGTGTCACCAAATCAAACTGAGAGATGCAGTCCTTACTGATCAGCTCAACCATTGCCATTGATCTAAGCCATCTTTGTAACCCTCCCTCAGCACAGTGAGATGAGAAACCAACTTGGAGGAGGGAAAAAAGAGGGAATGAAGTCATCTCAAGAGTTTCCACCAACATGAACTGCCATCTGGAAACACCAAAGCCCTGGGAGGGATGTTCCAAGCAGAGAGTCTGTGGGAAGGCACCCTGGGATAGCTTCCCAGGATGTGGGATCCTGAGGAAATTATAGAGGCAATGCAATAGGGACACCAGCCCTGCATCCACAGCACTGTAGGGGACTGCTTTTGGCACCCACAGCAGCTCACAGGATGGAGCAGGTAGCAGGGGGAGCAAGGAAGAAGCACTGCCAGGGAGGATAAGCAATGGGAGGGAGCAAAAAGGGAATTGGATTGAAAGGATAAAGCACCTCTATTTACTATAAACTCTAGTGGGTGTCTTAAACCTGACATTCCCCTTAAAGCAAGCCTAGCAAAGTCAGGCCATGTGCAAAACACAAAGAAGACCATCACTTCGTCACCACCAGTCCCAACCCCTGCCCATAAACCACACAGTGGAAAGCCAGGGCCCTATTCCCAGGAGCAGAGAGAAAACTGCTCTCAGCAGCTGGGACATCGTCTAAGCAAAGTTTCCCTGACTCCTATCTATTCAAGTGGTTTCATTTTGCAAAGAAATGCTTAATTAGCCACCAATCCAGACACCCAAAAAAGTATGAACACGGGACGCTCACCTAGATGAGGATCAGATCTACTTTCTACTTTCCCAAGTTGTGAAGGGCTTTATATCACTTAGTCATGAAGCATCAGGAGGAGGAGAAAGGCAAAGCAAAACAAAAAGAGGCAAGACTATGACCTTGCAATTGCATATGCTACTACTGAGGAAGATGCAAAGTGGGTTTCCCTCTCTCTCAGGCTTTTGTAGGACTTAGTAATTAATTATTCTAATTACAAAAAGCTGAGCCTCCCCTAGCAGCCAGTCCCCTGATACGACTTCTTCCTTAGACTGCTGGGAATAGATGGCTTAAAGGGCTCCCCATCACCACTCCAGCCTTAAATAAGAGCTCTGCGTCATGCCAGAAAAATAGAAAAGATGAGATGGGAGGTTGGGAAAGGGAAATGAAAGAAGAGCTTTGTTATTTTTCACACATCTGGGTTATGCAGATGGCTCACAGCACATGGGATTTCAATTGGGGTTTGTCATAGAAGAAAAACTACCACCGTGTTTTTCAGCCAGAGCAACCAAAACAATCTGGGCATTCATATTCTGCACTTGATAGATACCCTATTTCTTTTATTTTCCTCATAATCCTTGTTTTCACCAAGGTAATAACTGGCTGGGGAGAGAATATAAAGCCCTGACGGGGCGAGGAAGTGCTGTCAGCATCATGGCATGAGGCACTGAGCTCTAGTTGTTGGGGATGGTGGCTCAGCATCCAGTGGGAGGGATGCACACACCGCCCTGTGCTCCTTGAGGGGTGTGACTGTGACTGCTCCTGAAACTATCACCAAAATGATGATGGCATCACGATGGCAGGCCAGGATCAGAGAGGAGAAATGCTTTGTCCTTCCACTCTAGTGACTACTGTACCTGTTAATACAGCCAGACCTGACCACCCTCCTTCTCAGTGCTCAGATGGTCAAACTGTGCCACCAGGCAGTTCAAACCAAATGAAGAAGCGAACAAGCGTTATCATCACTTCTCATATTTATATTTTTGATTTTATTTTTAATTTTTATTAAAAAAACCCACCATTATCAAAAATGGATCATTTACTCAGCCAGGGAGAACTCTCATTTCAACCTCGTGAACAAAAGGCAGCACGGTTAAAACCCATAGGCATATACAAAACCCAATTAAACAACGAAAATAAAGAGAACAGTTCAAACCATAGCTTATAATTATACAGTTTCCTCAATGTCAATAGAGGGGCTTTCGTTAAAAGCCTTTAAGTCAGAATTCCATGGAAGACTTTTAAAGCACAAGGGAAGAAGGAAACACATGCTCGTTTTTAAAAAAAAAATTAAATTAAAATAAAACAATCCACAAAATAAACCCAAAAAAACAGGAAAAAGAAATTGCTTGGGTAATGGTTAATTCATTCAGCAAATTTACTTCCTCCAAAGCAATCGCTGTTTGCCCAGCCATACAGTTGGCCCTGGGTGATGTATTTGAACATACACAATTCCTGCCAAGTCACCCTAGCCCAAATATCCCAATTCTGGCATTGGTTTGGAAGGGTTTTTCAGTGAGATCATCCCTGGCTTCCTATTCCAGGAGCCTGGAGTCTGCAGTGGCAGTAGGTACCACCGGGAGCCTGGGAAAGGGGCTTTAATTCAGCCCCTTTCAGTCTCCCCCAGTGAGACAGCACCAAGGTGAGCTCTGAGCATCTCTCCGAGCTCCTGAACCCGGGCAGAATTAAGCACCTGCATTGTAGGAATGTGTCAAGCCCCAAACTGGCTACGTTAAAAACTGCAAATTAGTGACTACTTTGTAAAACAAAACCAGACAAAACCTATCCTCAAGTCTGGGAACTTTTAAGGTCCAAACCCAAATAAAAATGGTCTTAAAATATATACATATATATATGGCTTTTCATTTTGCCTATCCATTTCATTGGAAACACAAATAAATTTAAGGGTGATATTTGGTTTTTAAGAACGATTCTGTCCTTCTCTTTAGCCGGAGCGGATGGGATCGAGGTGCTGACTGTGGCTGCTCACATGGCTCAGAATCCACCTGAGTTCTCCTTCATCCTCGCTAGTAACCGGGAGTAGACGGGTGCTGCCAAGGAGAAGACTGAGTTGGATGAGACAGACACACAGCATCTCCCTCTTCCCTCCCCTCTCCATGATGCTGCATCTTGCTTAGAGCAAGACAGCAGAATAAACCTGTCTTTAAGGGACAGGGACATACGATGGAAATTAGGAACAAGCCAGAGAAGTTGTTTTACCTAGTCGAGGATTCCTCTGAGAAACCTGGGAAGAAAAGATAAGGTTTGCATAAGTACAACATATCTCTGACAGCTATAAGAACAGTTTGCACGTCAGTATATTTATCCTTAGTCTCCAAAAACTATGGATGGGTGACTCTTCATTATTGGAAGTTGGCACAGACAGTACAATGCCAAGTTTACATGCAGAATATGCTGCAAACTGTAGGCTTCATATTGCAAAATGTATTACTTTTTATATAATTAAATCATGCAAGAAAGGATTGGTCATTCCACGAATGTGGAATTCCACTAATTCAATACATATGCTCACTCTCAGCCAGAATATGTGCCATTATCTTCCAGTCATTAGTACCAAAATGTAATTTCAATAGTTCCACAGTGAGAGACTTCTCTGCCACTTACCTTGGATAATGCAGATGCCTGTTTGAAGATTTCTAACGCGGGATCTGCAGGCTCGTCACCTCTTTCTTGCAGCCTTGAAGCTGCAAGTGAGACAGAGGTAGGAATGAAATACCCTTCAAAGCACACAGGCTGCTTCCTTACATTAGTTTGTGTTGGGAATCTTGTAACAGACTAACATACTCAATATACTGAAGCAATTGCCACGTGTCACCACCCCCTCCCAAAGCAGCTCTGCTGCAATGGTGTGGCTCTAGATATTTCTAACCATAGACCTACCATGTGGCTGTAAGACAGAGTTCACGGCATAAATCACACCATTTGTGGCCATGATATCACTTTCAGCAACGGGCTCCTTGTTGATGTGGATGACGTTGTTTTTCTGGTCAGGAAAAGAAAAACATTTAAAAAAGTAGAAAATGAGGAATTTTTGCCATCAGTGGTTTCCAGTCTTATTAAAAAAGCCCCCGCTTGATACTAATTCATTTACTGGGTGCCTGCAGGCATTTTCCTCTTCCAATTAAGGAGAATATAAAAACAACCTATAGCCTGAGCAGTTTGTCCTGGAGGTGCTGGCAGGCTCTGGAGCATGGACTTTCTCCATGTACTGGCTGGGAATGCTGTCCTGTGGCAGCAGAGCACATCCACCAGCTCCCTCGTTCACACCAAGATGGCATCAGGAGAGGGCAGACTAGGACAGGACATGGAAAGAGTCTAGCACACAAGATGGCCAATTCAATGCACGTGGAAACACCGGCCCTTCCATTTCATCCTGGATTTTCTTCCTTATGCACAGCATGGGTCACAGTTATTTATTTTCTGAAGCATATTTTTTAGCTCAACAGAGGACCCCACATTCTCTTAATGCAGTTCAGAGTTTGTGGAATGAAATTATATATCTAAATAAATCCTGCTGTGCCAAGGGAGCCCATGCAGAGATCATCTTTGTTACACTAAAAAAGATGTGTGAGCTGAACAAGCTATTTGTTTAATTTATTTACGCTTTTCCCCCCATGACTCAGGGTTAAATTTATAACAGCTCCTGGAAATCATTTACAATTGGTCTTCTGGGGAGAAAGCTGAAGCAAACCACATTTCAAGACTGCTGGCTTGCTGAACTGAACACATGGCAACAGGCCCTGAGCTACAGCCCAGAAAACATTGTTTGGTGAGTCTGCGCACACTAGAAGAGGTTCCTACACCATCCAAGAGAGCACAGACATACTTTGGTCCTTGACGTGGACAGCTCAAGACAGACCACAGCCCTGCTGACCACAAAACCCCATCCAAGATGACTCACCATGCTGACTTCCAGTTTATCTCCCTGCATGGACTTGAGCCTCACAAGAGCACTGACTGCGCCGCTCACCAGGATCTCATCAGCCACATGGAACTTGAGGATGTTGGCAAGCTCCTTGGCATTACCTGGGGGGAGAAAACATTCACATTTGCAAAACAGCGTCGGGGTTTGATTCCCATATTCCATGTGCTGGAATGAGATTTCATGGAAAATACCATGATTTCCTGAAAAGAGGAAGGAAACAATGTGAAATTGAAAAGAGCAGGCAGAAGGACCTTGGTTGGAGCTGGTTAGAACATTGAGGCCATTCCTGCCTAGGGAGATTAGGATCCCAGGTAGTCCAGAAGGATGCTCTCCCAGTGTCCAACCTTGGTACACACCAAACCTGCCTTCCACATGAAATCCCTATCTCTTGGTTTTTCAGTCCCTCATTCTCTCACTGCGCACAGCATGAACCTGCTTCTGTTGCTGCTTTCACTTCCCAAAGAAGGCTGTGGAGGGGAAAAAAGACCCATGTGAAATGAGGAAGCAGACAGAGCACTCTGGTATTTGGAAATGTCGATACTTTTGCCAGCACCAGTGTCACCTGGCAATAATCTTCACAGCTGAAACTGCAGGATTCCTGGGTAGGAAGTGGAGAAGTGCAGGAGGAATGTCACCAGTGGCTCACAGACTGCTGGCCTGATCCCCACCCCACCGAGTGTCTACTCCTCTAGCTTTGAAACAGATTTTAGGAGGACAAGATGCTTCCCCTTCACTATCTATTTTCCAGAAGAGGCAATGACGTGCACAGGCCAGGCCAACAGCTCTTCTCCATCTGCTCCTCTAGAGGATGCAGTGCCTCTGACAAAACCCATATACTGGTGATGGGGAACATCCAGTGCAAAAGATATCCTCCGACTACAAAACCAGAGCAGCTCCTTCAGCAAGGTGGGGGGGTTTCTTTCACTGTTCATATCTGAACACACTCTGAGCTTTTCTCTCCATTAGTTTTTCTAAGGTAGCCGCAGTTCACACTGCACATCCTCACCAGCATGATTCACCCCTTCATCAGAAATGTAAGCTAAATATTTGTGTGAAAAAAGAAACACATCTGAAGTGTCTGCATCTGGGATACTTCAGTCCTGCAGCCATTTACAATAGCTGCAAAACAGTTGTGAAATATTTATGTATGAAGCACTAGACTGGATGTGCAGGGTGGTATCACCAGTTCCTCATCCCTGCACTTAAAAGGATAACCAGCTACCACAGGCAGATGCTTCCCAAATGATGATGTCAATGTTTGGTTGGGCTTTGATGACAAGAAGACATTACACTCAAATACCTGACATTGTTTCCAACCACAGCTGGCTTTCAACATGAATAAAATAGAAGATCATGCTGCCTATCCAGAAGAGCATTCCTAAACATTCCCATGCTTTTTTCCACACCCAGCCTGCACACCTGTGCTTTTCAGGATATTGGTCTTCATCTGTTCTAGACTGGAATATCTGTTGTCTTCTCAGGATCAGACGGACTTCCTGTTTTATCCAGGTACACGTAGATGGAGCAACAGCTCCATTCTTTTACATGTGGACCATGTTACCATGTTTTCTATTTGCAAAACTCACTTCTGACACCCTGACGATCCCTGACAGCTTCATTGTCACCTTTCATCTCTGAGAAAGGCAGAGACCTCACTGGTTCACCTTAGAGTTATCTTGCTTACAACGGCTAGCACAGCCCAATTAAAGTCATAGTAAGTTTGTAGCACATGCTACGAACACATCTCCCAAGCACAAGGGAAGCATAAACCTATGCCCACGCTTTATGTGGGAGTTCAGTGCTGTTCTGCACATCCTCAGCTTTCTGCTGGACATGGCTTATCCAAATAAGTTGCGTTGGAAGCCCATACTTCCAGCGGACAGGGTTAAAGAATGAGATATGGCAGAGAAACAGCCATTCCTCCCCATATCCTGCCAATAACACACAGCAATTGTTCCTCAAAATGCTTTAAAAGCACTCACCCATTAGTTTGTTCAGTTCCCCTTGGGGCATGGCTCGGAAAGCTTCATTTGTTGGAGCAAACACGGTGAAGGTACCTGGCCTGTTCAGGTTCTCCGTTAGACCTGCAGACTGGATCGCAGCCACCAATGTGCTGCAAAAGAAACATACATGAAATGCTTCACCATAGGCTACTTCTGTTGGGCTTTGAAAGTTGATTAAATAGGAAATGAGCCCGTGAGGTCCAACCAGAACATCTGAGAAATGGCAAAGGCAACCTGGGAATGCTGACTCCTTGGGGAACAAATGGTAATGAGGAGACAGAGAGGTCTGGCCACAGTGGCTTGGATGGGCAGAGAAGGCTTCAAAGCCAGCTTCTTACTGCATTAAGGGGGACCACACACTCTTGGCTAACAACTCATTGAAGGGTTATTTGAATCTCACTCCCTATAATTTAGGGATGAGACCATGGTTTGGATGCTCTTTCTATGTTAAACAAAATATATATAGTCATGACTACAACTCATAATAAATAGGAACTGCTTTGGCAGCTCTTCTGCTTCCAACTAGCATTTAGGAAGAGCAGAAAGGCCACCTGAAGCGATGGTCTGCCTTGAGAACATCCATCACTGAGCCAGATGGTGGAGTCAACATTTTGTCCATGCTAAAGAGGGTCCCAAACCTTCCTCTCTTGTCATGGGCAGCAATGCAGGCATTTTCAATGCAAAGGTTCTATGAAACAAAATGCAGATAAAAAGACTTTATTAGCATATGTTTCAAAAGAGAGATCTTTGTACTTTCCACACTGCTCAGTTACACTTCTAACATGACAGCCATAAGTTAGAGACATTGAGCATCATTCAGCCATACAGAGCACTGCACGCTGCAAGAACTCACATTGCGGTACACAAAAACTCTCAGTTCCTTGTCACCCAGAGTCTGCAGTTTCTGTCCATGGTAAAGATATTTAGAGGAGAGCTGGTCTTTAACAATGTGGTTCAGAAGCAAGTTTTTCATGTTGCTGTCAACAACGGGGAGTCCCTCTGCAGCAAAAAGACGGAATGATCCAGTGAGTCACTTAAAATGACCATTGAGACACTAAAAAACATCCAAATACAGACTCTTACCCACACCAGTTCTTAATTGTAAAGCTAGATGCCACTGCTTGTAGCTGAGGCATTCACAGAAGGATTTCCATGCTTATGCACTGAAACTTGGCTGAAGACTACAGTCTATGGCCCACACTGATGGAAAGAAAGGGGTTTACTCCCCACAGTTTACCTTTGAACACATCATTCACTGGGGCAAGGAGGGTCACTCGCTCACTGCCAGTTAGATGAGAACTGAGACCAGCTTGTCTGAAGAAGTCCATAGACTTGGAAACTTCAGATTCTTGTGCCAACTCAAACAGAGTCTTAGCTGAAAAGAAAAGCAACACATCATACCCTTGCGACAAAGACAATCCACACATCACTGCAAATTATCTACACCCTCTAAATCCAGTATTTCCTTGACAAAATAGATGAAAGAAAGGCAAAAGAAAGATGCAGAGAGGCACCAGTACCTGAGTCTGGGATCAGCAGCTCATTAACAAAATGGACAACGCCGTTGGTTGCCAGGATATCCTTGTTGGCAATGATGGGCTTCCCATTGAGGGTCAGCTCTTCTCCACTGCAGCCCACATCCAAGGTGGTTCCTTCCAGAGTCTCCATCGTCAGGCCAGCTATGATGGCCTCAGCACACATGGCTGATTTCA